CTCTCTATGTGGCAACCTTCTTCACATGTTCCCATTGCTCATTATCTGGCAAAGGTCTCCTCATGTCTCCATATGGCTCCCTATGCATGGAGCAAACTTCTCTACGTTTCTCCATGGCTCACTATCTGGCAGTACTCTCATTTCTCCTTATGTGGCAACCTTCTCCTTATTTCCCCATGGCTCGTTTTCTAGCAGCAGTCTCCCCATGGCTCCCTATGTGGCAACCTTCCCCATGGCTCACTATCTAGCAGCGATCTCTATATGGCTCACTATGTAGCAACCCTTCACATTTCCCCATGGCTCGCTTTATATGGCTCACTATGTGGCAACCCTTCACATTCACCCTATGGCTCATTATCTGGCAACAGTCCATGTCTCCATAAGGCTCACTATGTGGCAACCTTCCACATTCCCCCATGGCTCACTATCTGGCAGCAGTCTCCTCATGTCTCCATATAGCTCATTATATGGCAATCTTCTCCCCATTTCCCCAAGGCTCCCTATCTGGCCAAGATCTCCTCCGGTCTACCCATGTGGCAGCATTCTCCCCGGGGGTCCCTCTGTGGCAGCCCCCTCCTCTACAATCTCCCCACAGCGCCCTATCTGGTAGCGCCAGTCTCCCGTGTGTCCCCCATGGCTCCCTATCTGGCAGCGCCCTTCAGCCTCCCTCCTCCCCCCGCCAGCCCGTTGCCATGGCACCGCCCGCCGTCCGGCGCCGCCGCCCTCCCGCCAGCCTCGCGGGGCACCTTTAAAGTACTCGTTAGCCTGCGTCTTGAGCTCCTCGGCCCGCTTCAGGGCGCCGTCAGCCGGCGGGTCCTCCCGGGGGGGAGGTGCACAGCCAGGCCGCTCGCCCTCCGCCATCGCCATGCCGCAAAGCGCGCCTACCCCTCCACCGCCACAACCCAGGCAACGGTCGCCGGCAACTGTCGTAAAACGCCCGCCTGCCCCTCTTCTCCCTCTTCCTTCCCTGCCCTTCGCTCAGTGCGCCGGCCTCGCACCCCGACCTCGCGTGCGCATGTGCACAGCCGGCCGGGAGGCCGCACAGTCCCCTGGGGGACGGGGGCGGGGCCTCGGCTGAGAACCATAGAGAGTCGGGAGGACCCGGGTGGCTAGAACGGCCCTGGGAGTCCCGCGGGCCATCGAGAGACCATGCGGCTTCTAGAACGTCTAGAGCCGGCGGGATCATCCCTAGACAAGACAGGACGTTCCTCTAGACGCGGAAGACTGAGGCGGGTGGGGAGATTTAGCTCAGAGCCTCACGGCGAGGCAGGGCTGGAAATCCCGGAGGGCTTCCTGGAGGAGTCGCTTATCTCCGAGTTAAGTGTGTCCTTTTCCCGAGGTCATCCGTGCCTCGAGAGCAGGGGCTGGGCAGCTCACCTCTGGGTCACGGGGGCCATCTTTGCACTCGCACCAGCACCGGCCTCTGCCCCCAGGTCCCCTCCCGTAGACCCTGCAGCAGCCTGGCCTCCACGTGCCGCGGGTGGGGCTGGTGATCTCCAGCCTCTGCGCCTTTGCCCGGGCTGTTATCCTCCCCTCCCCCACCCCTGGAAGGCGCCCCCTCCCCTCCCAGCCTTATCTCCCTCTTCTGGGCTCAGCTCCGCCTCTTCCCAGAAGTCTTTCGGCCTTGTTAGCCCATTCTCCCTCCCCCAAATATATCTTAGTTCCTTATGTGTTTACTTGTTATATCTTCCAGTGAAAAGTAAGGTACATTGTTGGTGGAGCTGCGAACTGGTACAACCGGAAAACAATTAGGAATTATGCGGGAAGAAGAGTGCCAGAATGCCCGTGCCCAGAGATTCCAGTGCTAAGACTGTCTTTTGTTTCTTTTTGTATCTCCAGCACTTAGCACCTTACACTTCATAGGCACTCAAAAATGTTTAGTCATCCATTGACTGATTGATCCCAAAGAGGGCAGAAAGGCCCTCTATGCATCAGAGTATTCATAGCAACCCTTTTTGCAGCAGCAAGGACTTGGAAACAGAGGACCCGGCCCCTCTTCTGGGGAATGGCCAAGCTATGCATGAATGTAATGGGGGGCAGGGCGGTATGGAGTCACAGGAAGAAACACCAAACACTTGATACAGAGAAGCCCAGGAAGATTTCTATGAACGGATGCAGAGGGAAGTCAGCTAAAATGACTACGACAATGGAAATGGGAAAAATAATGGCAAAATAATTATAATTATTGTAATTGTAATTATTATAGTTATAATTATATGCATAATTAGAAATAATTATAATGACTAAGATTGCACTCCAAGAAGAAAGCACAGAATGTTACCTCTCCCCCTTTCTAGGCTGAGGTGGAGGACTATGGGTGTGGAATATTGAATACATACAACCTTTGACTTGTGATAAAGAATGACTTATCATAAAGAATAGAGGGCTAGGCTTGGAGTCAGAGAGAAACTCATTTGATTTCTGCCTTAGATACAGTGTGACCCTGGGCAAGTGGATTAGTTTCTCAGCCTCCTTTTTCTCATCTGTAAAATGGGAAGAATAATAGCATCTACCTTGCAGGGTTCTCATGTGGATCAAATTGAGATCATTGTCAAGTGCTTAGCACTGTGCCTGGTACTATAGAAATGTACATAGTAGTCATTTAATGACTGGGCTGAAATCCAGTGGATTCAAGAGGGAGTTTCTTTGTGAAAAATGGAGAATGAGTCCCACTTTCATACCTTTGCTCAGGCTGGGATCCCTGCCTGGAGTGCCCTCTCCTATTAATACCAAACCTTCCCTGTCTTTCTGGGGCTGGCTAGGGTCTACCTCCTCCCACGAGGAGAGCTCTGGCCTGCCCTGTTTTGCCCTCACAGACTCCTCCAGCCCTTGGGGAGAGCCCTGGGTCTTTTCCCAGAGTGGAGGGGAGGTGGGTGGGTGTGTCTCATCTCTCCAGCCAGCCTGGGAGCTCCTTCCCTTCCTCCTGGGAAGGGCAGTACAGGTTTTACTTGGCCTCCTCCACTGCCCCAGTCACCCCAACACCAGGTGGCAATTCTCATCCCCAGTGAGTCAAAGCACCCATTTAGCAGCCCTGCTCCTCCTTGGAGGAGGGCACTAGGAATCCAGAGTCCAGCCTGGGGCACCCGGGCAGGGGAGGAGGGGAGAGGTGCCTTCTAGGTAGGAGGATTCACGGGTCAGGAGGCTGGTTTGGAGCCCTGCCGCCCCCACCAACCCAGCCAACTAGTGTGACCCAGGAGTGAACACATCATACACACACACACACACACACACACACACACACACTCTCTCTCTCTTTCTCTCTCTCTCACACACGTGCAGTGTGCTGACATAAGGCAGCCTGGAGTTTGGTCACTGAACCACCAAACTTTCAGAGCCTGGAAATCACTGGGGCCTATCCCTCACTCTTCAGCCTCCAGGGCAGAGCTCGAGACAGGGAGGACGACGTCCCCAAGGTCATGGCAGTGCAGTCACCCGGCCTGGTGGGGAGAGGGCTGGGCCCACGCAGGGTTAGGGAGTTTGGGTGGATCAGCCCCTGCTTGGCAACGGAAGAGCATCTGGGCCTGGGTCCGGTGGCAAGACATAGATCAGGACAACTGGGGATGGCCCCAGTGCAGTGGGAGGCTGTGGCCTTTTGCAGCTAAGGTCTTTCCCAGGTCTCGGTTTGTCTGAGGCAACGGGGCCCATGCAGTGATTGAGGCTAGGTAAGAATGAGGCCGGCAGCTAGGTGTCCCAGTTCAAATCCGGCCTCAGACACTTACTAGCTAGCTGTGTGACCCTGGGCAAGTCACTTAACCCCTATTGCTTCAAAACAAACAAACAAAAACAACAACAAAAAAGAATGAGGCAAAAAATGGCCTCTTTTGACTAGTCAAAAAAAAAAAAATCTGATCTGGGAGGGGAAGATTTAGGGTTTCCGGCCAAAACAGAAACAATTACTATTTAGGTTCACTCTGAGCCCTGTGGACCCAAACAATGACCACTCAGTGGGCAGGGCCCTGTTGCTGGCCAGTCAGTGAGAGCCAGAGTGACTTGGATTTAAGGCCTGGTCCATAAGTTACCTGAGCAGACCACAGGTCTCCCCACCTGCTCTGCCGCATTACCACTCTCTCTCCAAACGAGCCTGGCACCTCACCCAAAAACTCACCCACCCACTTAGACACACATCAACCCGTGTTTACAGAGCAAAGTTGGCAAAGCACGTACAAATATTCTCATTTAATCCTCACAACCCTGTAAGGTCGGTGCTGTTATTAGCCCCATCTCACAGATGAGGAAGACTGAGGCAAACAGGTTAAGGGAGGTGACCAGGGTCACACAGCTAATAAGTGTCTTGAGGTAGGACTGGACCTCAGGTCTTCCTGACTCCAGGTCCAGTGCTCTATCCGCTGAACCACCAGTTACCTCACTATCTAAATGTCCATCCATCTATCCATCTATCCGTCTGTCTGTCACCTACTATGTGCTGGGCACTAAAGATAAAGGATCCCAGCAGATATGAGCATAACACACCTATTATCTGTAAAGCCCTTGGCAAACCTGACAGTTATATAAATTCTAGCCATTCTTATTATAAACATCGGATTTCAAATTCAAATCCTGCCTTGGGCAAAACCCACACCTTCTCTGGGCCTCAGTTTACCTCTCTGCAAAAATAAAGGCAGACTAGATCTGTGACCACACAGTGGAGGAGAAGCCCAGTGGGCAGACACCCGGAGGCTGGAAGCAAGCTATCTATAACACAAGGAAACAACAAATCACAGTCACAACCTACACAGACACGCCCTTCTGATTACACACAGAAGGAGCCATCTGCGTGACCTTAGGCAAATCATTCCCCTTCCAGAAACCTCAGTTTCCTCATCGGTGAAATGAGGTCCCTTCCAACTCCAAGTGTCTTTGTCTCTGACAAGCAAACATGCACACACAAACCCACACAAAATCAATGAATGCAAGTCAACCGGGGGAGTTCTGGTGCCTTTCAGGCTGAAGGGTTTATTGGGGGTGAAGGTGGTAGTTACACACGTAGCCCCCCCCAGTTCCCCCCTCCCACTTCCACAGCCCCCTCCACTGAGGCCTCTGACCTCCTGGGGAGAGCTGGGAGAAAGCCCTGGTCCTTACCCCACAAACCCCATAGCACCGTCTGGTCAGACTTCTTGACTCCCCAGCTTAGGGGGAGGGGAGCCCCCAGGAAGGGGATGGTGGGAAATCACCAGGTGGTTTATGTGTGTCTGTATGTGGGAGGGGTTCTTTGTCCCCACTCCAGACCCAAAGGGTAGCACCATCGTGTAAACAGGGAAGGGGGAGAGGGGATGAGAGGCAGGCGGCACGGAGGCGGGATAGAGGAAGGGGTGTCCTGTGACCCCTCTCCTCGACCACAGCCCGGCCCGGAGACCTGCAGCTGGAGCTGTGCGTGTGACTGGGCGGCCTGGAATCTGGGCTTGGCCTGAGGGGAGTGCGTTGCGGTCCCCACCTTGCCTGGGGCTGGGAAGCAGAAACAGGGAAGAGATGGAGGCAGGGAGTCTGGAACCGGGATGGAGAAAAGGCCATGGACAGACCCCAAGGGACCAGCCTTCTGGACCCTCAGCTCTGCTATCTGTGGTCTTGGAGAAGGCTCTTTCCTTCTCTGGGCCTCAGTTTCCACTGATGTTAATGAGAGTTGAGCGGGTGGTCCCCAAGGACCTCTCCTAGCTCTGTCTTTTTCTGCTTCTGTAACTCACTGTGTGGCAAGTCTCTTCTCCTCTCTGAGCCTCAGTTTCCTCATCTGTAAAATGAGGGGGGTCAGAGTAGATAATCTCTAAATTTTAAGATTTGAGGATTTGACAAGTTCCCACCCCCACCCCTCCACCTGTAACACATTCCGATTATGTGAAATGAGGCCTGGAGAGAGGGGTGTCCACTCACAGACCCACAAAGGAGCAGAGCTAGGAGGGTCCTTACTGACTGCTGAGTCCAACTGCCTCAGCTCATGGAAAGGGAAACTGAGGCAGAGAAAAGGCAAGGGAGACCAGGCCAAGTCAGATAAGTGCCAGGGCTGGGGCCAGGGGCTAGGTCTGCCCCCATGTCTGGTGGTCTGGATGGGGTGAGGTCTGGAAGGAAGGAGAGGCAGTTGAAAAGGTGAGAGGTCTGAAGAAGGAAGGCATTAAGGAGATGACGTGCACAGTGAGGAGAGGTCTGGTTCAAAGGACTCCCCCGAAACCTTGGGGGAAGGGTTCAGGGCTCTGTATTCCATCAATTCTCCCTCACCCCCTCCCTGTACCTTTAGATTATAACAATTTTAAAAAGAGATCATTTATCACAAAAGGGGAGATTTTTCTCGTCGATAAGGTGATTATGTGTACCCCAGAGTTAAAAATAAAGCATGCTGTAGAAAAAGTCCTAAGCCCTCCCCCAACCCCCCACCCTGAAAACCCCTAAAGTAAACCCCTAAAATATGGGTGAGGTAACTGTGTAAATAAATGAGCACCAAGAGATCCTGAGAGGGCGTGGGAGGAGGGAGAGGGGAGGTCCCTGCCCTGCAAGAGGGGGGGTCACTGAGCTGAGCCAGGGGTTAGGACCCTGCCCGCTTAGGGAAGGTGTGGGACCGGTGGGAATGAGATGGGCCTCCCTCCATCCCGGCTGAGGTTTGCTTGGCTCTCCCTGGGCCACCCACATCCCCTGAGACACAGAGGGCTGGGGTGGGGGGAAACAGTGAGGTAGGGCCCGGTGCAGAAGGAGTGGGGATGGGAGGGGGATGTACGTCCCTCTCCCCTGGCCCCAGATCCCTCTATCCTGTGCGTAGGCTGCGGGCTTGGAGTGTGGCTGAGGTCCTGGGCGTGCAGAGGGAGGAAGGGGAAGAGGGCGGGGACTGGGGGCGCGGGGAGGAGAGGGGGTGTCTCAGGTGCCTGGGGTGAGCTCCTGAGGTAAGGTCTCCTCCAGCTGGAAGTGACCCCTGGGCTGAGCGGTATCCTCATCCTCATAGAAGGACAGCAGGGAGGAGGAGGCCAGGGCTGTGGAGGGGGCAGGAAGGGCAAAGTCAGTGAACCCAGGAACACTCTGGGGGGTCGGCCCGCCTCGGCCGCTCCCCATTTCAGTCGATCCTCCACTCACTGCCAGAGCCCCACTCTGACCATGTCACTCCCCTCCTCAGCAGACTGTAGTGGCTCCCTAGTACCTCAGCGATGAAACATGAAATCCCCGGTCTAGCATTTAAACACCTCTGCCACGTGAACGCGGCCCTTCCTACCTTCCCATCTGACACCTGACCCTTCTGTGCATTCTCCACCCAGCGATACCGGCCCCCTTGCTGTTCTGGAATCAGGGGGCTTTCCCTCTCTTCAATCTACTCTGTATGTATCTTGTGCAAACATATGTGCACGTTGTATGAACACGCGTGTATCTTGCATGTTGCCTCCTTTCTTAGAATGTAAGAGATGATGTTGCCCAGGGTCACAGGGGAGTGTGGGGGTGTTTGGAGGGTCTGGACGACTGCTCTGAGGGTGAACAGTACAACTTCCACACTGCCTCCATCAGTCAGTCAACAAACACGTATGAAGCGTGTGTCGAGTGCCGGGGAAGCAAAAACAACCCCACTCTGGGGTAACCCGCAGAATCGCGGCGGTGGCAGGAAGCTTAGAGGTCATCCCTCCTGGAAGGCACATTGGCTTTGGAATCAGACTTGAGTTCAAAGCTGGCCTCAGACCCCTACTAGCTGTGTGAATCTGGGTAAGCCACTTGACCTCATCTGCCTCAGTTTCCTCATCTGTGAGGGGGATGAGCGAGACAGCCTCTGAGATCCTTTCCAGCTTTGGATGCTACGATCTCTCTCCTCCAACAGCTAGCCTTCACTAAAAGGTCTCCATGACGGTTTACTCACTGTCTGTCAGACACCTCTAATGATCAGGACACTATTCCTTCCGCTGAGCCGAAATCCGCCTGCCTGCAACTCCCCCTACTAATTGCTCCTGGCCAAGCCCGATCCTCCCTGAAGGCGGATCATTCAGACAAGAAATTCCTCTTCGGGAATGCACTGACCCACCTGGGACGACCCCAGGGCTTTCCTGGGCCCTTGCTGAAATATCCCCCCCTCCCCAGAATTCCCTCACTCACCCACGGGCTCCTCAAGGTCCAGGAGCCTGTTGTCGGCATCTGATGGAGTGCCAGGAGCGGCCTCGCCGCTCAGGAGAAAACTCTGGTGGAGAAGGGAGGAGGCAGAAATCAAGAAGTGCTCCCTGAGGTTCCAGATCCACTGCATGCCCTCCCGTCCCTTCTCCCAGATAGCCACCCCTCTCTGCTCCCTGTGGGCAGCTGGGTGGTGCGGTGCAAAGCAGGAAGATTCAACTTCCTGAATTCAAACCTGGCCTCAGACAGCTGTGTGACCCTGGGCAAGTCACTTAACCCTGTTTGCCTCAGTTTCCTCATCTGTAAAATGAGCTGGAGAAAGAAAAGGCAAACCACTTTGCCAAGAAAACCCCAAAAGGGGTCACGAAGAGTCAGACCCAAATGAAAAATGACTGAACAACAACCCCGTTCCCAGAGCCCCGGCTGACTGTGTGATATTTTTGCCTTTCTTTGTATCCCCAGGGCTCAGTACACAGTAGGTGCTTAATAAATGCTTGTTATTCACTGACTGACGAGGCTCCAATGAGTTCCTGTATGGAAAGTAACCAACGTGGCTATTCCCTGCCTGTGGCATCCCATCTCCCACGTCTTTGCCTTTGCACGGGCTGGAATATGTTCCCTCCCCATTGATAGAAAATCTAGCTTCTCCAGAGCTTTAGGACCAGTTCCTCCGAGGAGGCAGCCCTGATCTCCCGCTCAATAGTGTCCCTCCCTCAGCAAGTAACTTTGAATATCTTGGGCGCTGACTTCTCTCTGCATGTCCTCTCCCAGTATGGAAACTTTAGAGAGCCAGGCTGTTTTTGGCTTTTGTGTCCTCACTATGTGCCTGGCACGTAGTAGGAGTTTAATAAATGCTTCCTTTTTTTTTTGTTGTTGCTAAGCAATCGGGGTTAAGTGACTTGCCCAGGGTCACACAGCTAGTAACTGTTGTGTGTCTGAGACCAGATTTGAACTTAGGTCCTCCTGATTCCAAGGCCGGAGCTCTATCCACTGCATCACCCAGCTACCCCTAATAAATGCTTCTTGATTGAAGCATTAAAAAACACACAGAAAGAAAACAAAGAAATTCATAGGGGAACACAAACTGGGCAATCTTGTTACTATCTTCGACGTTCAGTATGCGGTTTTATCATCATCATTACCTCTTCACAAACATTACCTTGTTTGGTCCTCACAACAATCCTAAGAGGCAGGTATTGTTATGTCCATTTTTCAGATGAGGAAACTGAGGTGGACAGAGGTTAAGTGACTTGCCCAGCTAGTAAATGTTTGAGGCTAGATTTGAACTCAGGCCTTCCTGACTTCAGGCCCAGGGCGCTATTCACTGTGCCCCCTGGCAGCCATGGTAGGGCCTTCCAGGGCCTATGTTCCAGGTACCCAGGGTCACACGTGGGTTTCACACCTGTGTCAGAATGGGACAGTAGCAGAGAAACTGTCTACATGATCATCATGCTAGCAAACATTTCCAAAGAGAATTTAGGTTTGAGAAGCACTTTGCATGGATGACCTCATCTGAAGCTCACAATGACCCTGGGAGGTAGGTGCTATCATTGCTCCCGTTTTATAGATGGGAAAACGGAGGCTACGGGACCTAACCGTGGTTGTGCAGCTATTACATGTCAGACGAGGGATTTGAACCCAAGGCTCTCCTGACTCTGTCTAGTAATCTTCATCCCGTGGCCTCCATCGCAGAAACAAGGCTATCTGTGGCATACGGAAAGGAATCGGGGCAGGTGAATTCAGATCCTGCTGCCATGACTCAACAGTTGCAGAATTTTCTCCTCTGGGCCCCACTTCCTTCCCAGGTCAAATGAGAAGGTCTGCTCGAAGGTCCTTTGATTCTCTCCCTCCACTCCCCCTCCCCCGTGGACGCCCCTATTCCCCAACATACCAGGCTGAGGGGCGGCAGCAGAAAGTGTTCCGGTGCTGGGCTGGGGGATCGTTTGGGGGGCTTTGCTCCCAGGGCCTCGGCCCCGCTGTCCTCCTCCAAGCTCTGGGGCAGGGTCCTGCAGGAAAGGGAGAAAAAGAGTTCAGGACCCAGGAGACCTGGGGCACAGTAGCAATCACCAGTAGCGGGGGTTGCAATCCTTCCCTCACTTTTGCAAAGAGTGCTGACTTGAGCATCTCAGAGGTGCTCAGCCCCAGATCTGTGCTAGGTACCAAGAGGGGAGAGGAAAGAAGAAGTCTTGGTAATAAGGACTTCACTCAAGAGATTAGCTGTTGTTAATGACCTTCTACATGTAATTAGACTGTAAGCTCCTTGATGGCAGAGACTATCTTTTGACTCTTTGTGCCCCCAGCACTTAGCACAGTGCCTGGCATATGGTGGGCACTTAATGTTTACTGACTGATGGAGGCTTTCTCCCACGCGGTCACTGGCCTTTGTTCTCAAAGAAAACCAAAATGACATCACTACGTTGGCGTCAAGGTCCGACCGTAGCAGATCAGGCCGATACGAGCTCGGAATTCTCTAGCGCAGACTGGGCACAGAGGGTAAGGATGCTAACCTAGGTGACCCTGGGCAAGCCTCCAACTTCCCAAGCCTCACTCTCCTAATCTGTAAGAAGGACTTAACATTTGTACAACTGGTTTGAGGAAGCGCTTCTTAAAAAATAAAGTCTGTTTTTACTGCATGAGCTATCCTCATGGCTACAAAATCGCATCCCTGCTCGATATCCTCCTTCCAGGGGCTCCTTACTGCCTTTGGGACAAAGTGCAGACTCCTCAGCTGACCACATGCTGGGGTCCAGGAACCGCTCCACCCTGAGAACCCACTACTTCACTTGATAAACTCGAGCTTTCACTCAGACTAGGGTACAGCACGTCTCATTACCTGGTCCTGCCCTGATCACCCACTCCTTAGAGGGCCCTCCTCCGTCCTCCTCAGATTGTCCTCCATTCACATTCTACCTTATACCATGCTCATTTATTTTGATGGCATCACGGTCTAGCTCCCTAGTGGATTGTCCTTGAGGGCAGAAAAGATGACCATCATTTTCTATTTCTGTCACCCCAGGATTACGAGCAGGGCCTTGTGTTGAGGGATGGGGACTGCACCCATCTCCCAGATGAGCAAACTCTCTTTACATCTTCTCTGCAAATTATAGTCTTGAGAGAGGTGCCTGGGCCATTGAGAAGTCAAGTGATTTGCCCAGGGTCCTACAGCTTACATGATAGGGCAGGATTTGAACCCAGGTCTTCTTGGCTCCACTCTGCCCATAGAAGGTTCTTAAGAGGAGCTAATGTGATCTCAGGATCCACTAAGAGAGGCGGAGGGGAAGGAGAGAGGAAACCAGTGTTTATTAGGCACCTATTACGTGCCGGGCACCGGGCTAAGGCTTCACGAATATTATCTCATTTGGTGCTCACAACAATCCTGTGAGGTACGTGCTATTATTGCCCTCATTTTATAGTTGGGGAAACTGAGGCAGGCAGCAGCAAAGTCACTTGCCCAGGGTCACACAGCTAGGAAGTGTCTAAGGTTCTATTTGAACTCAGGTAGGTCTTCCTGGCTCCTGGCTCCTGGCCCAGTGCTCTGTGCACTGGGGCGCCCCCTATTGGCCTATGTAAGCGGTGCAGCTCCTAGTAATAAGGAGGGTGTCCTCTAGCTTAGTCTAACCACAGATAGAGGAGGGAAAAATAAGGAAACAAGCACTTATTAAGCACCTACTATGTGCCAAGCAATGTGCTAAGCGCTTTACAGATGTTATCTAATTTTTCCTGCATTTACTTTTTTTTTTTTGCTTCTTGGTGAGGCAATCAGGGTTAAGTGACTTGCCCTGGGTCACACAGCTAGTGTCAAGTGTCTGAGGCCAGATTTGAACTCAGGTCCTCCTGACTCCAAGGCCAGAGCTCTATCCACTGCACCACCTAGCTGCCCCTGCATTTACAGTTTTTGAAACACACTGGAGAGCTTCTAGACACAGGTCCATGAACTCGTGTTCATCATTATCATCACCACCACCATCACCATCACCACCACCACCATCACCATCACCACCACCACCATCACCATTAACACCACCACCATCACCATTACCATCACCATCACCACCACCATCAACACCATCACCATCATCATTACCACCACCATCACCAACAGCATCACTACCACCTCCTCCATCATCACTACCACCATCACCATCACCACCACCACCACCACCATCACCATTACCACCACCACCACCATCACCACCACCATCATCACCACCACCATCATCACCACCACCATCACCACCACCACATCACCATCACCACCATCACCATCAACACCATCACCATCACCACCACCATCACCAACAGCATCACCACCACCACCACCATCATCACCACCACCATCACCACCACCATCACCATCAACACCACCACCATCACCACCACCGTCACCATCATCATCACCACCACCACCACCACCACCATCATCACCACTACCATCACCATCTTCATCACCATCACCACCAGCATCAACATCACCATCACCGTTACCACGACGACCACCACCATCATCACCATCTTCATCACCACCATCACCATCACCACCAGCATCACCACCACTGTCACCAACACCATCATCATTCTGATGACTGTATTTCAATATAATTGGCTTCCTTTGCAATCCTTGTATTTGATGTTATGCATTTAACAACATGATTTCGAGAAGGGGCCCTGGGCTTCATCAGATTGTCAAAGGAGTCTAGGACCTGAGAAAGGTGAAGAACCCTGACCTGGAGGAAGGTAACCAGAATGGTGAAGGGCCTTGAGTGCACATCATGCAGGGATCAGCTGAAAGAACTGGGCATCTTTAGCCTGGAGACAAGCCTAAGATTTACAGGGCTCTCTTCACATACTGAATTTGGAGTTCTCCTTGGTCCCAGAACCAGGAGCATGCAGGGGAGTTGGGGAAAAGCAGATTTAGGGTTGGCATCAGGAAGGATGTTAGAGCAAAGCCAAAGGACCCTCCATCTCAAAAAGTTCAGGTGGCAGCTATTAGATGATGAACAGCTTGGCAGATCAGGTATGCACAGGTGTGGGCTGGTCTGGAGGGTGGTCCTGAGCCCCCTTCCAGCTACAAGCTTCAATGGGGAAACCTTCCCCAGACCCTCTTCATTCCAATGCCTGCCCTCTGCTGATTACTTCTTGTTCTGTCTATATATGTTTGTTTGCATGTTGTCTCCCTAATTAGATTGTAAGCTCCTCGAGGGCAAGGGATTGCCTTTTTCCTCTTCTTGTGTCAACACAAGTAGGCACATAGTAGATGCTTAATAAATATTGACTGATCAATTGCTAAACTACATGGGACAAAGACTGGTGGACTTCCTCTTTGCAGAGATTTCCAGATCACAAGATTTAATGCCAGAAGGGATCCCTGGATAGCATCAGGTCCTACCCATCATCCCCTATGACTCATTTTATGGATGAGGAAACTGCAGACTTACCCAAGGACACATAGTATCAAAATGCAGGATGCGGCAAATGCCCAGTGAGGGCTACAGATGATGAACAGTGGGGTACCATGGAAAAGGGGGCTGGGGGAGCTCAGAGAGAGCAATGTATAGTAGAAAGAGCCCTGGTCTCAGAGTTGGGAGAGACCTGGGTTACAGCCCTGGCTTTGACACAAGTCAGGTGGTCATGTACCTTGATTTATCAGGGCCTCAGTTTCCTCATCTGTAAAATAGGGATAATTATACTTATTCTTGTTTGTCCTTCATTCTGGAAGAGGACCACGACATCAGGAAGGTGATGTCATGACTTGCAAATGAATTGGGTTTAAGTGAGGGAGGGCTGTGCAAAGTCACCAGCCTCACTCTCTCCTCTGGAGCCATCTGGGTCCAGAGGCCAGATACAGATCAGGTCGATTGGAGATGGCCCAGGATGCAGTGGGAGACCTTGGCCTTTTTAAGCTAAGGTCTTTTCCAGGTTTCCATCTGACTGAGGCAACACCCATTCAGTGATTAAGGCTAGGTAAAAAATGAGGCTAAAAATGGCCTTTTTTACCTAGTCTAAAAAAAAAAATCAATCTGGTACAGGAAGAGCCTCAGGGTTTCTGGCCAAAACAGAAACAATTGCTATTTACACTCACACTGAGCCATCAGAGGTCCAAACAATGACCAAGTGGGGCCTGGGATGGGACCTATTGTTGGCCAATCAATGAGAGCCAGAGTGATTTGGGTTTAAGGTATGGTCCTTAAAAAAAGAAATCTAGCTGTAAACCACCAGATATTTTGAGAGGTTTCCATGATCAAAATTTATATTCCTTACCCGTGGGTAAGGGTATGTTTTCTTATGTGGACACAAGGAGAAGAGGGAAGGAAGGAAGGAGCGAAGGAGGGAAGGAAGGAAAGAACTGCATTGCCCAACTGGCCAGTTTGATTTGATTTGATTTGATTCCTATCCTCAGGGAGCTAAGCATCTATTAAGAAGGGAACACTTACTAGCTGTGTGACCCTGGGCAAGTCACTTAACCCCAATTGCCTAACAAAAGAAGGGAAGACAAAAACAACTATAATACACACAATTAGGAACACAAGATTTAGAGGTGGAAAGGATGTCCAACCTTCTCATTTTACAGATGGGGAAACTGAGGTGTAGAGGGGCCTTACAGGGTACCTAGACCAACCTCTTCATTTTACAGATGAGGAAACTGAGGCAAACAGGATTAAGTAACTTGCCCAAGGTTCCCCAGCTAGTAAGTGTCTGAGGTCAAATTTGAATTCAGGTCTTCCTGACTCCAGGCCCGGTGCTGTATCCATTGAGTCGCTCAGCACAGAGCTGGAATTTAAATTGGAGTCCTCTGATTCCAAATCTAAGGTCCCAATCTCCCTCCCTCCCATCCCTCTGTACTCCATCCTCTCTCACCTCTTCCGAGCTCCGGCCTGGGAGCTTGTGCCCGCAGGGTGGGTCTTCTGGCTCAGTCGTGGGTCACTCCCCCACCGAAGCAGAGGAAGAGACTCTGGGGGTCGGGGGGACAGGCCGTGGAAGCTGCGGGCTCGGGGGCGGGGGGTTGTTCCTGTACGCCTTCGAGGGGTCCTGTAGGGCTGCTCGCTGGTGTTGAGCTGGAAGTCATCGTCCATGGAGATGTAGGGGGCCAGCATCTCTAACTCTAGCGCCTCGATGTCCTGGGCAGAGAAGGAGGATTCCACATAAGTAACCCTCCTCCTTGTAGCTTCTTGGCCGGGGGAGCTGAGACAAGACCCAGGGAGCCAATTACATCTAGTTCTGGACCCCAGTCCTTTCCTTCCTACGGCACCATCCCTCCCACGAGTCACCCAAAAAGACTAGGAGATCCCACACTTAGAGCTGGCAAGGGTCTCAAAGATGATGTAGTGATTCCCCCAAATTTTACAGATGAGGAAACTAAGGCCCAGAGGTCAAGACTTGCCCAAGGTCACACAGGTCAGAGAATCCCAGGAGCATAGATTTCAAGCTGGAAGAGAGCTCAAAGGCTCTCCTAAGACCAGGTCTCCCAATTTACAGATAGAGAAACTGAGGATGACTCTGGTCCTTAGTAACAGAGTTTGGTTTTGAACTCCAGCCCTGACTCCCAATTCGGTCACCTCCAGCTGCATGCATCACAGAAATGTTGAGCTTTGGGGCAGGAGCCCTGGGGCCAAACCCCAGATCTACTGCTGACTGAGGTCTTTTGAGACGTTGAAAAGCCCCCTTCAGCTCTCTGGAGGGCAGTTCTCTTCCCCAGAAAAAGGGTCATGCTGATGCCCGAAGCATCTGCCCATCTCCAGGCATTGTTTGTGAGGCTTGGACAAATCACGTCCTCCCAACAAGGCTGTGGGCTAGGTCCTGCAGGGATTATCACCTCCATTTCACAGGTGAGGAATGTTGGAAGGCCCAAGTGACCTGTCCAGGGTCACCCAGGACCATTGCAGAGCAGGGCTGGAATTCCAGCCCAGGTCCCTCTGGACCTCTCTGTTCCATCCAGCTACCTCTCCAGAGTTAAGGGGGAAGCAGAAAAAGTCTCTGAGCGGACAAAAGAGCCGTCACAAAGCCCAAGCATTTCTCCTTAGAGGAGCGACCCTCATCACATGGAGACACTGCCTCCTGCCTTGTACAAGGTGCTAACAAGAGTGGGTGTGCGGCCTGGGGATGCCCAGGAGATTGGGAACGGTAAACTGAAGAGAGAAGGAAAGCTGCTGGAGACAAATGCCCAGAGAACAGCAAGATGTGTGAGCTAGGGAGGAGACCAGAAAGTACCAAAAACCCAAGAAGGCAGGCAGCCCCTCTAAGGGCAGGGTGTCAGCCACTGAGGCCTCGGAATTACAGGACAGGAAGTACGGCCTACAAAGTCAGGGAGCCTGGGGGTCCAAACCCAGGACTTCAGAGCTGGAAGGGGCCTCTAATGCTGTCCCTGATAAAGAACCCCCACTACCATAACCATGATGAGAGCTCAACCAGCTGCTGCATGGAGGCCTCCAAAGACAGGGAGCTCACTACCTTTCCTGGCAGGCTATTCCGGGGCAATTCTCATTGTCTCATGAGCTCGGGCCCAAGCTGGCGTCTTTGCCTCCGTCCCATCGCTTCTGGTTCTCCACTCTGGGGCCAGGCAGAAGGAGGCTAATCTAATCCCCCCTCTGGAGGACAGTTCTTGAGGTGCCTGAAGGTCACCTACCCCCTGAGCCTTCTACTGTCCGGGCTAAAGGTCCTAGTCCCAGCAGCCTAGGAAGCCGGGATGGGGGTAGGGGGCAGTGGAATCCTGGCTCTCCCACCTCCTCCCTCTGTGGTCTTAGACCAGTCAGTTTGCCCTCTTGGGCCTCAGTCTCTTCATCTGTAAAATAAAAGTGTCAGGTCTGATGGCCTCCAAGGTCCCTTCCAATTCTAAATCTACGATTCCAGGCACTCAACAAGCACCATTTCTATATTGCTATTGTCCCTATTTTGCAGATGAGGAAACTGAGTTGAGCAACAGGAAGAGATTTGTCCATTCAAGGAAAGGAAAGGCTGGGGTGTGACAGGGGAGCACTGCCATGTTCTAGCCACCAGTCTTGGCCCTACCTGCTCCACATCCAGAGTTTCTACAGCTTCCAGGGTCTTGCCGAATCCAAACATCTTGTGTACGTTTTCCATTTCCAGGAGGAGGTCGTTTGGGAGATCCGCCTGTGGGCGAGATGGAGATGAGGTAACAGGTGAGTACAGAGTGCTACAAAATGAGGGCGGGGGGCAGTAGGTCGTCTCCAAGGTCAGGTCCATCTCTGCCTCCCAGACGGGATAGGAAGCCCAAAGTCCAGCTAGGAATGGTGGACAGAAGCCAAGCACCAAACGGTGAGGGAGGAGTCGAGCCTCCAAAGACCCTAGACAGCTCTGCCCAAGAGGTCAGCAAAGCCCGAGTGCGGAGGGTCCGAGGGCAGCACCCATGACTGGGTCATTTGGTAACGGAATCTTTGGAAATTTTTTTTTTAATGCACTTGATAAACATCATCAACACACAGAAATATCTCCATGTACAAAGAAGAAAAGAGAAAAAAGATTGTGCATGAAACTAGGCATCTCAAGGTCAAAGGCTCTGATGGGAGGGGGCCAAACGTCCAAGGTTAGCTAGCTCAAAACCTAGGAGAGAAAGCCTTGGTCCCTGGCCATGGGAGTCAAATATCAAGGGTCACTGACTCTAGACCTGGGACCAAGGAATCCCCATGGCAGGCAGGGAATCAAGAATGTAAGGGATGGGAGCGGTTAAAAGTCAGAGAGGTCAAAGGCTAGAGGGTAAGTCCAGATACTGGAATGTCAGAGCTGGAAAGGACCTTGGAAAACAGAATATCAGAGCTGGGAGGGGCCTTAGAACAGGGAATGTCAGGGCCAGGAGGGGCCTTGGAACAGGGAATGTCAGGGCTGGGAGGGGCTCTAGAACAGGGAATGTCAGAGCTAGGAGTGACCTTAGAACAGAGAATATCAGAGTTGGGAGGGGAGCCTGGAACATGGGATGTCAGAGCTGGGGTGGAGAGGAGGGACATCTCAAGGGTCATCCATATGGCAGGTACCGTGCACCTTTCGAATATTTCAACTGATCCTCACATGGCTTTACAAATATAACCCATGATTTGCTAAAACAGGACACGCAGAAAAGCAGCCTTGGAAGGCGTGGTGACTTGGCCCAGAGGTCTGCATACCGGTGGCGGGCTTCGAGGACGCTCTTTGGCTGGGGTTCCGCTGGGGATGGCGGCGGTGGCGGTGGCAGGGGCAGCAGTGGCAGGGGCAGGGGCGGCCCCATCCAGGATGGGGGCCAGGAGGTGGCGAAGGTCTGGGCTGCAGAAGCGGCGAGGGTCAGCAGCCAGAGTGGCCTCGCTCAGAGCCGGGGGCTTCAGGAAGGCAAGGATCCTGGGGCCGGGGGTATCTGTGAGACATGTACTGGGATGGTTACGTGTGGTGGGCTGGGGCATCTGAGGGGCCACCCCAGTGATCCCGACCTTCAGCAACACGTATTTTCTGAGCAAGCACTTACTGTGTGAGGATGTTGGGGTTTTTCTGGGGGGGGGCAGGAGGCTGACCTTCATATTGCAGGGGAGGGGGAGGAGATAGAAATGCTGGTCTGGTGTCTGAGAATCAAGGGAGTGTGCTGCCTAACCTAGGTGAAGAAATGCAAACCCCGTAGGACAGGAGAGATTCTAGAGTCAAAGTGGAGTTCATCCTGGGAGGTTGTTGGGTCTTGGGGGGTGAATGAAGGGATTGGGGAGAGGGCACTGGGGGAAATGGAGAGCCTGGAAGCCTTCCTGGAGGAGAGACTAGGTGAGTCCTACTGGCACACAGTGAGTGTGTGAGGACATTCTAGGTAGGGGTGGGGTAGAGGCTGGACAGGCTATGTCTGGAAGCTTAGGGATGAGGTGGGGAATGCTAGATGCTTGGCTGAGTGGGCATCATGGGAGCCAAGGAAGTGGGCAAAGATCAGAGAATGGCAGCCAGGAAGAGGTGGGAAGGGTTGATGCCAGCACATAGAATGGGGATGATGTGGAGAAGGTGAGACACCCCGTGAACCTCCCCTCCTCCCTTCTTTCCACCTCCCAGGCTCCCTTGCCTTCCACCCCCATACCAAAGCCGTCTCCAACACCCTGGGGGCTCTTCTCCGAGGGAGGCCCCCGGTCGGCGGGGCGGGGGGGCCGGCGGGTTGGCTGCTCCGTCTGCTCCAGGGATAGCACCACCCCAGTCTCCTCCACCCGGCTGGGGGGGGGCAGGATGGGGCAGAGGGGGCAGGGTGTCAGGGAAGGGAGATCAGAGCTGGGCATGACTTTTGTCCCCTGGAGGGCCACCCCAACCAGCCTATTATGATAGTTGCCCCAGGAGAGATATCCCAGCTCCAAGGTCCCCACAGGCATTAATTAGCAGAAAGAGGGACAAGCTGAATTCCAGAGCTGGAAGAAACCATTAAGTCCAACTCCATCTATTTTACAGATGGAGAAACTGAGGCACAGAAAGGCAAGGAGGTTTCCCAAGAGACAGTAAGTCAGGGGCAGGAGCCAGGATTTGAACCCAGGGCACCTGACCCCCAGCATAGGGATCCTTCCATTATAAAGATCTCAGCCCTTGTCAGCCTCCCGCCCCACTCCCCAAGGGGGTCACAGTCCCTTCCCTTGCCTGGCACTGACCTCAGCACAAAGTGGACACAGACGACACTCTCGGGCTGGGGACCTCGGCCGCCTGAGATCACCGTGGCCTGGGTCTGGGTCCAGAGGTACCCTCCATTGCGGGCCAGGAAGCGATACTGCCCAGTCACAGCCTGGCCCTTGCTGAGTACTGGGGGGCAGAAGGCAGAATAGGATGGTGGGACGGGGAGCCAGGGAGGAGAAGGTCCCAGACTGGGGCTTGGGGCTGGAGACCAGGGCTGAGATCCCCCCGGGTGGGGGAGGGTGTCTCTGGGCAGACTCACAGGTGTGGATGCTTTTGCTGACAGCATCGAAGTCCAGGGCATGGATGTACTCGTAGGCTGAGCAGCCAATCAGATCATCCGGGCTGTATCCCGCCACTTCTGAAATCCTGGGGGTGGAGGAAGATGGGCCCTGTCAGTTCTGGCCTGCTCCAGACCAGAATCCTGAGAATGGGGGATAGGCCCATGGGGAAGGAGGGAAGAGGACGGGAGGGTGGAGAGGACGGGGAGGGGAGGGGGTAGAAGGAAAGGGCAGAGGAGTACAGGGAGAAACAGGGGAGAGGGAAAGAATGGGGATGAGGGCAGACTAGAGCTATTAAGAAAAGGAGAGGGAAGAGAAGCATGGGATTCTCCACGGGCCAGGCGGGACACAAGACGGACCTGTCATCACAGTAGGTGAATTTCATGTCCAAGCTGTGCCGGCTGAGGAAGGCCCCTCGGCCCAAGGGCGGCTCCAGGCTGCTGGGGTGTGGGATGGCCTCACAGATCAGGACCAGGCAATGGAGGGGTGGCTCAGGCCCAGACCCCAGCCCACCACCCGCAGAGGGCTCTGAAGGTGGGGTGTAGGCCCGCATGTGCCCTGTACAGTGTAGAACCTGGTGTGGAGAAGGGGAAGGATCAGCTGCAGAGCCACGGGGTCCTCCCAGCTGCCACCATGCTTTTTCACCTCCCAATCTCTTTCCCCAGCTCTGCCCAATGCCAGGGCACTTGTCCTGCCCTGCTCCTATGCTTTAGGTTTCCTAGAGAGGTGGGGCTCCACAGCTCCACCCTCTGGCTCCCTGGCACTGTCCCTAGGGACCTATGTGCCTCAGTTTCTCAGACGGCCCCCCTGGTTTTCCCAGATTTCCCCATACTTGGGCACCTGCCTCAAAGGATCATAGGTCTAGGGGTGAAAGACGCCTCAGAAGCCATTAGTCCAACCTTGCTCATTTTACAGATCAGTAAACTGAGGCCTAAAGAAAGTCATGGAGTGTCCCCAGAGATGGCCCCACTCCAGCTTCTCCAGAACCTTCCCTCACGGTGCTCAGATCCTCCTTCCTCCCTCCCCACCTTCCCTAGCCCCTCCCTTCCCTCGGGGAGCCTCATTGTCCTGGTGTGTGAGTGCCCCGTAATGCAGGCCACTGTCCTCGGTTCCCAAGTCTCCAAACCTGGGTGCCTGGGTCCCCTATCCCCAAATCCCCTGAGGCCTTTTCCCAGGGACTCCCACTTTCCAGAGCTCCCTCTCTGCCCAGGGCGCCCCACTGGCTTCCGAGTCCTTCCGAGTCCTTGCGTCCCCCACCTTCCAGGTGGCAGCTTTGAGGTTGAGGGTACGCCCGCGGCTTGTGAGGGTGTTCTTCATCCGGAGGGAGAAGCTCCGCTCCGTGGGCTCCTCCAGCTTCCTCTTGGATAGGCCTGAGGTGGGACAGAAGAAGGTGGACATCGGGCATCGGCTCCGGGCCCCCCCCCCCCACAGGGGCTGCTCCCCAATTCTGCATCACGCAGTGTTAGGCTTCCTGAGGGCATGGCCCATCCCCCTCCTCGAGGAAAGACTCTTCCGGGGTCCTCCCCTCAGAGCCGGGAGGAACGTCTGAGGCCATCTAGTGAGCTGAGAAGAGGCCCAGGCCCAGGGAGGCTGGGGTCTGCTCTAGGTCACACAGCTAAGTTGCAGAGGGAGGATTTGAACCCAGGGCCTTTGACCCCAGGAGCAGTGCACTTTCCACTTTACCAAGCTCTCAAGGCTTCGTTCCCCAGCCTGCCCTCCCATTCCCCTTCAAGATGGGCCTCCCCAAGGGCAAGTCTGGGGTCCCCTTGGGGTGGCAGCTTCCTGGAGGCAGAGGGGACCCTATGCTGGGGGACAGGGGTTAAACGTGGCAAAGGTTCACCTTGCCGGGGGGTCAGGACGTCTTGAAGTTCTTCTTGGTCACAGGGATGGACAAAATCGAAGACGCTGTGCCCGATCAGCTCGAGCTACAAGGGGAGGAAAGTGTTGGCTTTAGGACCCCTCCCTCCTGGGGCTCAGGCCCCAGCCTTCAGTCTCTTGACTTCCTGGCCCCCAGCTTCCCTTTCCACAGCCTGGCTGTGAATATCATCCCTCCCTAGAGTCATCACCCCAGTTCAACCCCCTGTCTCAGGGAGATGAGTAGAGAGACAAGTTAAGAGCTGAAATGAACCTTCAAGGACATCTTATCCAGCCCATTCCTGAACACCAACTCCTTTATAACATCCAGCCTCTGCTTGGATTCCTCCAGTGATGGGGAACTCACTACTTCTCAGAAGTTGAGAAAGGGAAATGTTGGAAGAGAGGAATTTTGAAAAAACAAACACGCCCAGCCTATAAGAGCAACTTGCTGTGTGACTTTGTATAAGTCCCTCGCCCTTTCTGGACCTCCCATGAAAGCGGAAGGGTCCAGATGCAATGATCTCTCGGGACCCCGCAGCTCTGGGAATCTCCTAGTATATGGTGCCCGTGCCCGTCCCAATGGGAGCGGCTCTCACTTGGCTCAGGCCTAGGTGTTTGCTGACATTCTCAGACAGATAGGCCATGTCCCCTTCGGCCGTCAGCACCATGACAAAGCCGTCCAGCGCCTTCAGGTAGCATGCGTCCAGCGGCTCCCTGGACCCTGCACCAGCTGACGAAACCTCACTCCAGTCCCCTGGAAGGAGAGGCACCAGTTAGCCCCCAGGAGCCCTGCCTCCGTCTGGGAGAACTTAGAGCTCATAGCTCTGCCTGGAATGCTCCAAGGACGTTGGTCTCTCTGGGCAAGGGGTCAAGGGGCACAAGGTTATCAAGGGGGCACAGTGTGTGTAGCGGGGGAGGGGGCTGCTCAGGAGACAGAAGCAAGAGGGCTGAAGGGAAAAGGGGGAGAGACTTTCCTGGGGGCTGCCCCCAGGCCAGGGTCTCTGGGGGAGTGGACTATCTAAGGGGGCCTCCCAAGCTGGGGGCTCCTCCTGCGGAGGCTCTCACCTGCTGCACACAGGCGGTGCATGCGAAGGTAACTGATGGTGAGACGCATGATAGAAGCCTTGTCCAGATGGGCGCTGACCCCCCGCGCAAAGGGCAGAGTGTGGGCCAGCTGGTAGAGCACCTCGGTCTCCTGGCTCCGGCGGCTCCGGGCTGCATCCCGGGACTTCTCCTTCCGAAGTTCTGTGTTGGACCTGCCCAGGAAAGGGGATGGGGATGGAATGGGATGCAGCCTCTGCCCTGTCCCTGCCCCTCAGACCCCAAGGGTCACTGCCCGCAGGAGCCCCAGGATCTGGGTGCAGAGGAAGATCTGAGTGGGGGCGCAAGAAGAGAGGGGAGATCGCAGCGTCCTTCCCAGAGGGCTGGGAGTCAGGAGGCTTGGGGCCTATGTTTGTTCTGGAATCTCAGGTCCTTCCCAGCTCTGACATTCCCTGTTCTAAGGGCCTTTCCACATCTAATATTCCTTATTCTAAAGGGTGTCCCAGCTCTGGCCTTGTTCTACCCCTGCCCCTCCAGCTCTGACATTCTCTGTTCTAAGGGCCCTCCTAACTTTGACATTTTATACTCTGTTCCAAGGACCTCTCTGAATCTGATGTTTGACTTCCTTCTCCCCCACCCCCCCGCCCCAGACCACTACCTGTCTCTGTTCCAGTGCATGTCCCCTGGATTCCTGGCTCCTCTCCCTGTCTCCGCTTGTCCACTCAGCTCCCTGACTCCCTCCCCCCATCCCTGCCTGGCCCCTTCCACACCCTAACTTATCTGCTATTTACTAGACCAGGAGAGGTCCCAGGGCTGGCACTGAGCCAGGAGCCCCTGGGGAGTTACTGAGGCCCCAGAAGAAGGGGTTAAAGGTCTCAGGTCTTGGGGAGGAGGGTGGGGGAAGAGGACATCTCTCCTGTAGCACTGAGGAGAGGCCCCCACTCTCTTTTGCACCTTTTTAGCAGACTGGGAGCTAGTAACAGAATATAGGAGCTGGAAGAGCCATCTATCCCTGGGGTAGGTAGGAAGTGGCCAGGCTTGGCAGACAGAGGGATGGACATGGAGTCAGGGAGCCTTGGGTTCAAATTCCACCTCAGACACTTACTACCCAGTGACTCCAGGCAAGTCACTTAATCTCCCCAAAACTCAGTTTCTTTATCTGCAAAATGGGGACAAGAGGAGCACCTTACTCACAAGATTGTTGTGAAAATCAAGTGAGATAAAGTCTGTGAAGTGCCTAGCAAATCTTAATGTACTGTGCAAGTGTTTGCTATCATCATCATCATCATCGTCACAGTTATTACCCCACCCCCCCTGTAATCAGCATGGCTAGAGAAGCTTGGAAAGGGCTTAGAATGAGTTTACATCATTGGATTTCTACCTGGAAATAGCCTTGGCTCTTCTGTAATCTAGCCCCCTGAGTTTACAAGAAGGGGAAACTGAGACCCAGAGAGTAGTAATAAATTGGCCATGGTTGCTGGAATAATACAGAAGCCACAGCAGAATCAGGGTGCCAAGCCCGGTCCTCAGAGTCTCAAGTGTTCTGCAGCCTGAGGGCACCCCGAGGACCCACCCTGTAGGTGCCCCTCTCAGTCCTGCCCCAGGAGCCAGGGTACTACTTTCCTCCTCGGGCCAAGAGGGTGGAAACATTCTGCCTCAGAGCCGGCAGCAGGGCAGGCCCCAGGGTGAAAAGATCCCTCTTTCCCACTAGTCTAGGATGACTATAGAAAGGGGGTGGGGTGGAGGCCTCCCCTAGCCTGAAGTGGGTGGGGCTGGGAGCTCCAGCTGGCTCACCCTCCCCTCTGCGGTGGGCGGCCAGGGGCCCCCCAGTCCTGGGAGGACATTCTGTTCTGTTCTGACCGTTTGTTTTCCTGCCCAGAGGGTGGGGGTGGGAGGGACAACCAGAACCAGGGGGGCCCCAGACAAGCCGGAACAGGGGAGTGGAGAAAGGGAGGAGGGGAGGAGGGGAAGAGGGAGGACCTGGGACAGCAATATGAGCCCCAAGGCCCTGCCCGCTCTGGCAGCTGTGGGCCCGGCAGGGAGGTGGGGCACAACCAGAATTAGAAAGCCTGGGAGAAATGGCCGGATAAAGGGAACCCTAGCTTAGCCACCTACTTACTACCTGAGTGACCTTGAGGAAGACACTGTACTTCCCCAGGCCTTAATTTCCCCATCTGTAAAATGGGGGTGGGGGAGACTAGACTGGAGACCCTGGGGGCAGGGGGAGGCCTGTGTCAAGCCCCCTGGGTCAAGTTTGGCCTGTTTCCCCTCCTGGAGCATGACAGGGTGAGGCCAGAGGAGCTCAGCCTGGTGGCGGGAGGGTAGAAATTGAAGGAACCCCTCCACCCCTGGAGGGGGACCCCAGGGAGCTGTGTGACCTTGGACATGTCATTCACTGGCTTGAAATCCTACTCTCAGTTTCCCCTCTAAAAAGGAAGGCGACTTGGGCTAGCAAAACAAAGTATCTAAGTAGAAGGGCAGTTGTGGAGAAAGAAAATACATTGTAACCTTAGCAGGAAATGGGACCTATTGGTCTCTAGGTTGAGATTTCTCCCAGCTTTGAGAGTCTGGGTTCTCAAGGGCCTCCCAGCTTAGCCATGCCATGTTCTAGGTTCTCAGGGGCCTCCCAGCACTAGCATACCATGTTCTAGGTTCTCCGAGGCCTCTGGGCACTGATATCCACATTCTAGGTTCTCAGGGACATCTCATGTTCTAGGTTCTCAGGGATCTCCCAGCACTGACATGATATAATCATGATTCTCAGGGGCCTCCCAGCTTGGCCATGTCATGTTCTAGGTTCTCAGGGACCTCCTAGCACTGACATCCCATGTTCCAGGTTCTCAGAGGGCTCCCAGCACCGATATCCACATTCTAGGTTCTCAGGGACATCCCATGTTCTAGGTTTTCAGAGGAATCCCAGAGAATCTCAGCACCAGATTTGAGGTGCTGCTAAGCTCCTCACACTCACACATAGGGCTCTGAATGTGGACCCCCCATCCTACCCCATAAACTCTCTCCTCACAGAGGCTTGAGAGATTTTGTATCCCCCCAAGGGTTTGGGTCTCCCCTCCTCGGCCGATCCTGAGTCAGTGACTGGATGTCAGTAGTTTTGGGCTGGAGTATGCCATCATGCATGTACCCATGTGGGTCTCTGTGTATGCATCCATGTATGGGTGTGGGTGTATGAGTCCATCAGGCCAGGAAACCCACCCATCCTGCTGTCAGTTGTCCCAGACACTCCCCTTTCCACCCCGCCCTGGCTTCCTCTCTTCCCCAGGCTGGCCGTCTCCCTGCCTGGCTCCCAGCCTGGCCCTTCTCCGCCTCTTTGGCCCTGTGCCCAACTGGGACGTGCAGCTGGGGGGGCCATCACCCTCCCCATGTTCCAGCTGAGAACAGGAGGCGGGGTCAGGGAGGCCCCTGGCAGAGGCCAGGGAAAGAGGGGAAGGGCAAGGAGGGGGTTGCTTCTCACCAATCCCCAAACAAGGAAAGACAAACTCCCCCACATGGAAACACAAGAGTCTTGGGGCACCAAGACCAGTGAAAAAGTGGTGGGGGGGCTCCTCACAGTTCTGAGCCCTGGTTATTCCCTGGTGTGTGACCCTGAAGCCCAAGGAGGTGGGGTGGGGGTTAAGCTGACTTCCTGGGGCCCAGGGGTTTAGGGGGTCCTATGCTAGACCCTAGTCCCGACAGCCAGGAACCACTAACGGGTTTACAGAGAACACCCAAGGTGGGGGTAGGTGCCCGAGATACCCCTACAGTCTTCCTGGAGATGGGCATATCACCTCAGCCCCATGGAAGGGGTTAATGGGATTGGCAGGCACATCCTTTTCCCAGCATCTCAGAAAGAAGATGGGCACCCCAGGGGATCCCCATCTCCTGGGCGGCAGCTCCTTCTCCCAACAGCCAGTGCCACGCCTGCCCCCTGGGCACTGTGCCCACTGGGGAGCCCTTCACTACATTCCTTCCTCCCTACCTAAAGGAGGTACCTATCATTCAAAAGAAATAGAAAAAAAGAGACCACTAATCCACCCCCCTCCCCAGGGCCCACTCACCATTGCTTGGATCCCCATCATTCGGGGCAGCCTTCAGGGCCATCCCTGGTCTCCTTCCCCCCAGACTGGCGCCTGTGCCCCCAATTCCCATCCATCCAGGGGGCCTAGGCTGAGGGTAAACAAAGCCAGGAGAGAACAAGATGTTCCTGGCCCTGAGTGCGAGTTGTGAGTGGGTGGCGGCAGCCAAAGGGTAGGGGAAATGGGGGGGGGAATGGATGACAGGACAGGAAGGGGCTGGGCTCTGGGGTGGATTGGGGGGAAGAGACACCCCACCTCAGCCAAGAGGCAGGGTGGGTGGGGCTGCACCCAGCCAGGCCCAGGCGCCCAGGGGAGGGGCCAAGCCTGCCTCTCCCCTCCAGGGGGTGTTCCCTGCCAGAGTGAGAGCCAAGGCTCAGGATGGGGGGGTGGAGGGTGGACAGTAGGGGCGGAGATGAGATCTAACCAGGCCTGGAAACGCTGGGGAAAGAGGTGGAGCCTGGAGAGCCCCAGAACCGGGACCCCCTGGGTAAGCTGCTGTTGGCACCAGGTACCCCACCATCGGGCTTAGGCACGCCCACTCTGCTGCACCTGCTATGTTACGGAATTAGCTTCGAGCACCCCCCTCCCAACTCCGATGCCCCTATAGGAGAGACTGAGCTGGAGGAACGAGGCAAGACTGCTACCTATCCCCAAGCCCAGCGTTTCAGAAATGCTTCAGCCCCCCCATATTGGTCCTTGGGGGACCATGAGTGGGCCACATCCCTCACGCTAAAGGGATCCAGGGAACTGCTCCAAGGGTCCCCACAAACCCAAGGAGTCCTAGAGCCTGCCCTCCCTTTCCTTGGAAAAGCCGGTCATGGGGTGGGGGTGGGCATAGAAAGGTAAGGAGTTTGACTCTCCGAAAGGATAGTCTCGTCTTCTTGGCTCTAATGGGGAAGATTCCAATCTTCAACCCAGATTCTGTTCCCTCCTGGGGTTCCCTGACAGCTGTTTAAAGGGCCCTGACCCTAATTACAAGGGCTGCCCAAATATCAGCCTGCTCCTCTAGGGACCCCATACGTAGGATATTTTGAGCTAGGTGGAATTTCCAGGTAATGGGAAGAGGGTAACCTCATCCTCCTAGGCCCTAAGTAAGGGGGAAGTCCTTATTCTTCCTCCTGGGGGTCCCAGGGCGCTGCTCGAAAGGGACTGCTCCGCAATTCCAAGGGGAGCCCGATCTCAGCTCCACCCACAGCAACTCCAAGCCCGGGACACTCTAATCTGAGGGAAAGAGGCGATGTCTTCACCCCTTTTACTCTGGAGGGGAGCGAATCCCCCCTCCTGGGGAGGTTTGATACGGGGGTCCCCATCTCCACCTGGCCCAGAAGGGGGCGCCCCTTGACCAGGGTCTTCAGGAGTTAGGCTAGATCCTGCGCACCCTGGGCGCTGCAAGGGGGCGAGAGCAGCCTCCAGGGGACCCCCTCCCCCCAGGGCTTGCCCTTTGCCCATACCTGGATCTCTGCAGCCCCCGATCCATGGCCACTGCCGCTGCCGCCGCCACTGACGCCTCCACCGCCTCCACCGCCTCCGCCACTGCAGAAGCTGCGGCCCCGGGCCCCGCCCCCTTCCCTCCCGTTCCCTCCCCTCCCGCGGTCTCAGGCGCCCCCTCCCCAGCCCCGCCCCCAGTGCGCCCCTCGCTGAACCATTGGTCGCCCCCCGGACCCGGCTTCACTCTGCCTCGGGGATTGGCCACAGGAAGCGTCACTCAAGAGTGGGGGGGGGTGGAACAGAGGGGGAGGGGGGCGCCCCTCTGTTCCACCCCCATCCCCCATTCCAGTACAGACACGCCCCCTCCCCCAGCTTGCCTGCGTACCTCCGCCAGTCCCACTTCCCTCTCTGAGCCCCTCATCCTTTTCTTACTTCCCTCATCCCCCACACACCCCCAACCATTCCCTGGCTTTCCTACCTCCTTCTGCCTCCTCTGCGCCCCCGGTCATCCCCATCTTCCTCAACTCCTTAAATCCTTCTGTGCCTCCCAATCCCCCTAACTTTCTTGCCTCTTTCAGCCTCCACTGATTCCCCAGGTCCTCCTCCTTCAACCCCTTCTGCTCCCCCAACCACCCTCACCTCCCTCAAAGCCCTCCACTCCCAACTGTCCTCATCCCCATCAACCCCATTAGTGCCCCAACCACTCCCACTTTTCTCAATCCCCTCTTTGTCCCCAACTCTTCATTTTGACTCAACACCCTCTGTAACACTGACCACCCCACCTCCCTCAGCCCCCTTTGTTCCCCCAAGCACCCCCTAGCTTTTCCACATTCCTCAATCTTCTCACAGCCAACCCTTTCTTGCCTCTCTCAACCCTCTATGCTCCACCAACCATCCCTCAGCCCCCACTTGACCTCCAACTCCTTTCTCACCTTTCACTAGGTCTAGTCCCCAAGAGGCACTGAGGTGGCCCAGAGGATACAGCACTGGGTTTGGAATGTTGACAGGCATGAGTTCAAATTCAACTTCAGACACTTATCTGTGTGACCTGGGCAAGTCTTTTAACTCTTATCTGCCTCAATTTCCTCAAATGGGGAAAATGTCAGCACCAACCTCTAAGGGTTATTGTGAGGATCAAATGAGATATTTGTAAATAAATTGCTTTTGTGCAATGCCTGGCACATAGTAGGAGTTTAATAAATACTTGTTTCCTTCTTTCCTCCAAACTCTTTTGCGCCCTCAAATCTTTCCTCATCTTCTTTTCTCTACTTTTAGCCCTTTCCCTCATGTGTTCCACCAATCCATCCAGGCTCTCATCTTCCCAGCCTGTGTGATCTCAAACAGACAATTTAACTTCTCAGGCTCAGAAAAGGGCAAAGCCCTTTTCTTTTCTAAATCTTCCCATATCTCTGTGCCTTCAGCTTTTCTCCTCACCTCCACCAGTCCCCATCGGCCCTGCTGTGATCCACCCCCTCCCCATTCTGTCCCCCTCACCTCCACAACTTGCTCCTCCTCAAATAAACCAGAGGATTAGATCTTCAGGAAGATCTGGGTTTGAATCTCAGCTCTGTAACCAATTCTTGCAGCAAGCCATTTCTCTCTGGACCTCAACTTGCTTATCTACAGTAATCTCCAGTGTTTTTAGAGCCAGATAGTCTACAGACTGTGCCAACCACTTTGCATTTGAGTCACACAACAATCCTGTGAAGGTAGATGCTACCACTATAACTACCCCATTTTGCAAACGAGGAGGCTGAGGGGGAGAGTTTAAGGACTTGGCAAGGGACAGGATTTGAACCCAGGTCTCTCTGGCCCCTAGTCCAGCCTTTCACGCACCCCCCTACCCCCTTTACAGAGTTGAAGGAGTACATCTTTTTTTTCAGCCAGCTGCAGTTAGAAGACCTGGGCTTGAGGCCTGGTTCCACCACATGCTAGCTGTATGGCCCTGGCCAAGTCACTTACTGTCTCTGAGCCTCAGGGTCTTTCCTCTGCAAGATGAGGATTATCAATGAACTTCTGCCCTCAAGATTCAAAGCAGGCACGTGGTAAAGAAGAAGGAGCCTTGGAAATGGGAACTACTTTTATTATTCTTCTCACATCCTCCCACCCCCATCCATTGGTATGTTAAGATACTATGGAGCAAGGAGGAATGAGAATAGGTGGGTATTTACAGAACAAAGGTAAATGGGGCTGGGGAAAGTTGGTGGAGAAAGGGATTACGTAAAGGAGAAATGGAAATGCCATTAAAAAAAGAAAAAAAACCCTCAGAACTTTGCATTGGGGGGTACGCTTTATATATAGGCAGCAGGGGCAAACAGCGTTTGATTTATAACCTTCAATACGGCAGCAAGCCTTACTATAGGCAACGCTGGAGGTGGGGAAGAGGCTCAGAGACCCAGAGCTGGCCGGGACACATTCTCCGGGGTCCAGAGGGATACTGGAAGAACGTCAAGTTCAAGTTCGCCTCTAATCCCCCTCCCCCTTCTTTAGCAGCCCCAACGTGGATCCACAGCACATGCGCATGTTTCAGGAGCCTCGGGAACCTCTCGCTGACGTGCACTGCAATGACTTGAGCATGCGCAGAAGGCTGACTTTAACTCCCCACCCTCCCCCACTCTGGCTTGTTGCCCATGCGCAGACCACTGCCTTCTCTCCTCCTCCCCCTCCCGCACCATCACCAACTCTGTCTAGGTTAAGCAGCAAAGTTTTACGGCTCTCCCTCTAGGTGGCGCCAGGCACGCGCAATAATTGCTACAATCCCGGGCACGTGGATTTACAGGGCTAGCCAATGAGAGCCCAGCTAATAGACAGGCCTGCCGATGGCGGGGAGGGGCAGGGGAGGGTGAGAGGCGGGAAATGCGCACAGGTGAGAGGCACGTGGGTGAGCGGAGATTGGCTAGGAGGGGACCAGAGACTCCAGGCATGATGCTCATTGTGGCCATGCCCGTCTCCCTCCATCTCCTGCCTGGTCTCTTCTCACCCCTGTTCTTCTAGAAATCCTAGTTGCCCTCTCCCCTCACTCTCTCGCCAGCTCCCTTCTCCTCTCTCCAGCTCTTCTCCTTTCTTCTTTTCTCCTTTCTCTTCTTTCCTCTTCCCCATCTCCTTCCCTTCCTCCCTCTTTTCCCTCTCCATATTGTTCTCTTCCCACTCCTTCCCTTTCTTCCTCCTCCTCTCCCCTCTTCTCCTTTCTCCCTTTCTTCTTTGCTTCTCCTTTCTCCCACTCTTTCCCTCTCTCCCTAATTCCTCCTCCTCCCTTTCTTCCTTCTCTTTCTTTTCCTATCTTCCCAGCTTCTTGCCTTCACAGCTAATCTTCCTTTTTCTCTTTCCCTCTCCCTTTCCTCCCTCTCTTCCCCTCTCTCCATCCGCTCTTTCCCTCTCTTCCCTTAATATCATCTAGTCCACATCTTTCCATCTTCTCCATGATAACAGAATGAGATACTTTATCAAATGATTTATTAAAGTCTAGGTAAATTATCCCTTCTCCTCTCCTTCCTCTTTCCATCTCTTCATCCCTTCTTCTTGTCCCTTCTCTTTCTCCTCTCCTTTTATCCCTATCTTTTCAATCATTTTTACCCATTGTTTTCACTTTTCTCCTTATCCTTCCCCCCTTTCTTTCTCCCTTCTAGAGGACAGAGGAACTATCTCTAACAAGCCAGAGGAACAGTACCTCTCCCTAATCTCCAAGGAGTATGACATAGCAGATAGAGATCTGCATTTAGAATTAGGATGATGTGAATTTGATCTTCCCTCAAATCCTGGCTAGCTATGTGACCCTGGACAAGTCATTTAATTTTTCTGAGCCTCAGCTGCTTCATATGAGACTTATCTGTAAGGTCCCTTCCAGCTCTAAATCTATTCTCTTTCCCCCATCTAATCAACATCCTCTTCATCAACAAAACACCTTTTTTTTTTTTGGTTCAGCATCCATCATTTTGCTGTCCTTGTTGTACCAAACACTCTCAGATGAGTTGTCTGTAAGCCTTTAGTCCCAAATAGACAAACTGATGTCCTCAAATGGGAGTGACAAGAGAGGAGTAACGTTGAAACCCCAACTGCCTAATTAGAATGATTAACCAAAGAGACAGCTAAGTGGAAATCTAGCTTTTTTACACATATTGGTTGTGGGACCTTAGAAAGGTCACTTAAACTCCCAGGAGCCTGCACAAGTACTCATCATTATTAACTTTAGAGCAAATGCTAAATCTATATCGGCAGGGAAAATGTCCTTGCAGGGAGCTCCTGATGCAAATGAAATTACAGCTTCAGTTGCAAAGCAAAAGATGTACATTTTGATAGGGATGACACGATGTGGGGATAAAGACCATACAGATCCCCTAGCTGCATCTTTGGACAGAGGGCTAGGAATTGGGAGTAGGAGATGAAGGGTAGAGAAATGGCAACCTGAGAGGCATGGATTTTTATTTTTATTTTTATTTTTATTAATTTATTTATTTTTGGCGAGGCAATTGGGGTTAAGTGACTTGCCCAGGGTCACACAGCTAGTAAGTGTCTGGTCTGAGACCGGATTTGCACTCAGGTCCTCCTGACTCCAGGGTTGGCACTCTATCCACTGCGCCACCTAGCTGCCCCAAGGCATGGATTTTTAAAAGGATGTCTAGTAGGCATCTCCAATTGAGCACGTCCAAAACTGGACTCTATCACGGGCCCTTTCTTGGGTGACTATCTTTTGACACTATGTTCCCATCTCCCCATGTTTCTTCTGCTATTAGCCACTGACGCCCTCTGCTAGAGGTTTCCGTTACTGTGTGCCAAAGGATATTGTGGCTGCCTCCTCACAGACTTTCCAGGATGTCTGGACATTTCAGAGCTCCCAAAGCTGCTGGGATACTTCCGTCTCAGGTTACTCACTTGCCTAAGAAAATCCCAGTGCAAGAAGACCCTACCACATGGCCAGAAGGAGGCTACATTCAAGGTTTGAAATGGCCAATTACAAACAGACAGAGAATATCTGAGTGTGTTCTATCTAACCTGGCAGGAAGGGCGAATCTGAGAATATTCTTCCTGATGCTATTACAAAGATTTGTTCCTGAATGTAGGAGTGTTGGGCCAATAAGTGCACAAAGTTTCAGGATGGGAAAGATTTAAGATCATTAAACCCAAATTCCTGATTCTATAGAGAAGGAGAGGGCAAAGGGCAGTGGATAGAGTTCTGGGCCTGAGGTCAGGAAAACTTGAGTTTGAATCCAGTCTCAGACACTTCCTAGCTGTATGACTCTGGGCAAGTCACTTAACCTCTATTTTTCTCATCCCCCCCACCCCCCACCTCCATGTGGGTGATCCATCAAACAGACCACTGGGAACGCAGTTAAGACTCAAATTTAAATCCAACCTCAAACACTTATAAACTGTATGACCCTGTATAATCACTTAACCTCTGTTTGCCTCATCTACAAAATGGGAAAAATAATAGCACCTACCTCATAGGGTTATTGTGAGGATCAAATGACATAAAATTTGTAAAATGCTTAGCACGGTGCCTGGCACATAGTAAGTGCTATATAAGTATATTCATTATTATTAGCTATAATTAAGCCTAGTATAAGACTTTGCATTTATTCTTTTCAACCCAGTGCTCTAGCCTGTTAAGATTCTTTCAGGTCCAGGTTGTTAGCTAGACCTCCCCATTTTGTGCCATCTGTAAATTTGGCGAACATGCCATCCTGGTTGCCATTTCCCATCTAGTGTGATGGCACACTGAGCAATATTTGTAGGCACAAATAATTCCGTTAATGGAAAACAAAGTCAATAACTTCTGGGCAATCTCCAAGGCTTCAATGAGCAAGTAGAAAGTTGCTGGCAAGCAGACATCATGGACAGTTTTTTGGGGGGGTCTCAGAGCTTCTCCCCAAAGTCCTAAAACTGTTTTTATGGCCTCTTGCCCAGAAGGCCCACATCTGGGTCCTATATAAGCCTACCTGGGGACAAAGTTCATTCAAGCTAGCCCATTGCTTCTTGGCTTACAATAGTCCCAGTTGATGGTGTGGAAGTGTGGGGGTTGGGGGCAGAGTGAAGTGAGCTTTTTTGCCTAGCTCTTCCAACATACACCTTTAAACAACTTTAAAAAGAGCATCACATCAAAGGGATGCCCATCAACTGGGGAATGGCTAAACAAGCTATGGTATATGATTGTAATGGAATATTATTGTGCCATAAGAAATGACAAGCAAGATGATTTCAGAAAAATCTGGAAAGACGTGAATTGATGCAAAGTGAAGCGAGTAGAACCAGGAGAACATTATACACAGTAACAGCATCATTGTATGATGAAGAACCATGAATGACTTAGCTATTCTCAGCAATACGATGATCAAGGACAAATGATGAAGCATACTATCTGCCTCCAGAGGAAGAACTGAGAGTGTTTGAATATAGACTGAAACGTGCCATTTTCACTTTCTTTCATTCTTTCTCTTTTATTCAAATCTTCTTGTACAATATGGAAATGTTTTACATAATTGCGCAAGTATAATCTATATCTGATTGCTTGCGATCTTGGGGATTGGGGAAGGAGGCATAGAATTTGTAATTCAAAACTTTAAAAAAATGTTAAAAATTGTTTTAACATGTAATTGGGGGGAAAATAAAATTATATATATATATATACATATGGAGAGAGAGACAGAGAGAGCATCAAATGGAATTCTGAGCAATAAAACCAACAAAAAGTCACAGTGAGTCAGTTTTCTAGCCCAGGGTACCTTAGGAAGATTGAAAGAGAGGTCTGCAGACACTGGAGCAGAGGCTGAGCAGTAGCACATACACAGAAGTGTAGGGATTAACTCAATCCTCCCTAGTTCCACAAGTGTCTTAACCCGTAACATATGACTTTATCAAAATCATTGATAAATGATATATAGCACAAAGTCAAGCAGCTAGGTGGCACTATAATGCATAGAGCACTGGGCCTGGGAAAAGGAGGAGGAGGAGGGATGAAAAGCAGGAGGAGGAGGAGAAAAAGAAGAAAAACCCTTTTATTATAGAAACAAATTCAAACAAAAGAAATTCCCACATTGGTTAGTTGAATAAAGTGCCATCTGAATAGCTCTCGTAGGACAATGTGTCTACCTTGCTTAGGATCAGATCATATAAGAATGTGATAGATGAGAATATGATAAATAACATTTTAAACAAATTATTGAGTATGAACATCAAGCGTAGTGTCAACAGAGAGAAATCTGTTCACTTGAGGTGCTCTTTTCATGATGGAAGATGTCCTGCATAAGGACAAACAAAACAATTCCCTACTGACAACCAAGTTCTCCAAATGCTCCTCTTTGAAGATGACTTGGCACTAATTGATATGTTGTGATGTAGTGGAATGTTGCATTTTTGCTCTTAGTTTTAGAAAACCTAAATTTGATACTTAGCTCTAACTTATCTCAAAGTGGAACTCTGAGCTAATAATTTGACTGTTCTCTGTATTTGTTTCCTCATCTGTAAAATGGGGATAGCTTTTAGTACCTATGTCATAAGGTCACTGAGAACAAAGTGATTTGTAAAACTAAAAGTACTACATAAACATGAGGTATTTTTGTGTCTCAGAATACCACAAAAGATCCTCGGTGAAATCCATGAAGTAAAATAGTTTAACATGATCTCCACACTGAGAATACAAAAGTGATATAGACTATATATATTGCCTAGATGATGATGTGCAACTAGTCAGTCAGCCCACTCAGTCACAGTCCTTGGCACATAACAGGTGTTTTTAAACGCTAGTAAAGGGATTCATAGAATTTTTCCATTTGGATAAGCATTGTAGGTGAAAGATGCCCTGGTCCAGATCATAGTAGGGAGAAAACATTTTTGGCTAGAATTGTATGTGGGTGGTTGTTCAATGCTTTCAAAGATTTCAAAGTGTTCCTTGATGCAAAAGCCCATTTCTTATTTAAAAAATAGTTTTGTTGGTTTTTGTTTGTTTTTACATCACCTAAATCTCCTCCATGTCCTTCCCTTCCCCCTCCCAAAGAAACATCTCTTATAACAAAGATGTTTAAAAAGAAAAAACAATTCAGTCAAATTGATCAACGCATTGAAAATATCTGATCTTATACCCAATGATCCACACCCGTGTGTCCTGACCTTTGCAAAGAACCAGGGGAAGGTGTCTTCCTCTATATCTTCTTTGGGGCCAAGCTTGTACTTTATAATTTTACAACATACATGTTTGATTGCTTTGGAATCATTGATTTTTTTTCTATTTACATTATTGTAGTCGTTGTGTATATTATTTTACCCTTCATTTTGCAACAATTGCACTGGGCGTGGAGTCAGCAAGACTCCTCTTACTAGCTGTGTGACCCTGGGCAAGGCAGTCAACCCTGTTTGCCTCAGTTTCCTCATCTGTAAAATGAGTTGGAGAAGGAAATGGCAAACTTCTCCAGTATCTCTGCCAAGAAAACCACAAATGGGGCCATGGAGAGTCAGACACAACTGAAACGACTCAACAACGAACAAGGACAGATTTCTGGGTTACCCTCCTGGAGACCTATCGGCACATTGACAGTTAAGAACGACTCTTTGTCTGACAGGCTCTGAGTCTGACTCTTATTACCTAGTCTACCTCTCTTCATTTCATCTTGAAGAACAGCATGAGATACACAATCAAAAGATTTGTTGAAATCTTGGTGAACTTGATCCACAGCATTCCCCATTCTCTCGGAGTTTAGAAATTCTGTCAAAAAAAGGAAATGAGGTTCTACCGGCATAACTTGTTCTCACTGCCTTTTTGTAATTACTACTTTCATTTATGGAAGTTCACCAGCCATCTCTTTCATAGTTCATTCTAGAATTTTCACAGGAAATAGTCCAGCCCCTGACTAGTCTGTAAAACTCTGTTCTTGCCCTTTTGGAACTACATTTGTTCTTCTCCAATCTTGTGGTACCTCTCCTGTTTCCCATGATCTTTCAAATATCTCAGCAATGACATCTGCCATTTAGCCAAGGCCATACAAATAATGAATGACTGAAGTGGGGATTCAAGCCAAAGTCTCATGACCCCAAGACCAACTGGAATTTTCCATTGCATGAACTAATCAACAAATTGTTCTTGAACAAATATTAGGTTCGAGGGTAAGCATAGGGAAAAGAATGCTCGAGTAGGACTCAAAAACCCAAGTCTGAATCTTTACTCTGTGACCATTACTTGCTCTGTGACCTTCTCTATGGGACTCAGTTTCCTTCTCTGCAAAATGAACCAGTTGGACTAGATAGTTTCAAAGGTTTTTTTTGGCCCCAACATTCTGTTGTTGTTGTTTTTTTTTATTGTAAGCTCTTTAAGAGCAAGGACAGTCATTTGCCTTTTTTTGTATCCCCAGCACTTAGCACAGTGCCTAACCCATAGTAGGCACTTAAAAAAATGTTCATTGACTAACCAATGTGTCTTTAGGAGCATTTGCTTGGAATTTTGTCAACTCTCTCTCTTGTTGTTGGGGTTCTTCTGCATAACTGTGTGATTCATCTGCTCCTGTGGAAGCCTGAGGGCTTTGCAGAAAGCTGATTGCCAGGCTGTGGCCAATTCAGGATTTTTCACCTATATCAACAGTTTCTAAGATGCTATCAGCCTTCCTCTCCTTTTTTGCTTGTGGCTATAGTTCCTAATAATTCAAGCTTGGAAAAAGTCATTGGAATCTCTGCTGTATATATCCCACATATTGTAATCATGAACATAATTCCCCACTTTCAAAGCCAGATTGTTGGCCCCACGCCAACCATCTTGACAGGGCCATCCAGAGGTCAGTATGTAATTATTTTCAAAGCTGTAAGTGTTAACACACTACCGAGTGCAACTTCCTTGTTTGACAGGGAGGAGACAGAAGCACTTATCCATGGTCAGGAAGTGTAGTAGAAAAAGAGGGTTGGAACAAGACCTAATTGCATTCATCTATGGACCCTCATTGAGCAGTTTCATGAATTTCTGTGGCTAAGGTTTTAATCATCTGGGGACTAAAGTTCCAGTGATGCGCCACTTGGAATTGGACTGAGTTCATTCTTGGACCATAAAAACAGAACCCATTTCTATATATACTGTATTGAAACTTTTCCAAGATTTTCCGGAGCTTGAACTTTGCTGGCATAGCCTGTGAGAAACCAGGATCACCTCCAGACCAACAGTTAGTGGAGATCAACGGGACAGAACAGTCAAAATTCTCAGATATATCATTAAAGGGATGGTTAGTGGATGTCTAGAAAAGGAAGCGGTGATCACAACAAAGTGTGTGGCTTTATCAAGGAGAGGTTATATTGGAAAAACTATATTCCCTCCCCTGATAAGTTTACTAAATAGGTGGTTAGAAGAGTGCTGAATATATAGAGTACCTAGATTTTAGCAAAGAATTTGATAAAGTGTGTCATGCTATACTGTGGAAAAGTTGGAGAGATGTATGAATAGTC